ATATTTACATATTAAGATAGAAATTATTTTCTTTTAGTTTCATATTTACATATGTAGGATTTTATACTCTTTTTAAAAGTTATGTCTGTGGTAATTATTATCAATTTCATTTCAATCTACTAAAATTAGATTAGGAGATGTCTTTTAAATATTTCTTACAGGCCAGGCACAGTGGATCATGCCTGTAATCCTAGTACTCTGGGAGACGGAGGTGGGTTGGAGACCAGCCTGAGCCACAGCGAGACCCTGTCTCTAAAAAAAAAAGCTGGGTGTTGCGGCGAGCATCTGCAGTTCCAGCTACTTGGGAGGCTGAGGCAAGGGAATTGCTTAAGCCCAAGAGTTTGACGTTGCTGTGAGCTGTAACGTCACAGCACTCTACCGAGGTGACAAAGTAAGATTATGTCTCAAAAAAAAAAAATCTTTTTTTTTTCCATACAAAAAGTAGAAGTGTTTCAGCCCGATAAGGCTGAGAATTACTAATTTAGATTGGTCACTGGACAAAGAGTGAGTTAAGCTCATCTAAAACTACCACTGATTTCTTTTAAGTCAACTTAGCAGAATAAATATGGTAAAAATTTCAAAAGATGGCAACAGTATGTTAGAGAAAGATTTAGACAACCCCTCCCCCCAAAATAAAGCAAAAAATCCAAGACAACTCTCTTAGAGCAAAGCAGTGGATAAAAAACTAATGAAGAAAGCTGATTAGTGAATGGAAAAAGAATTTGGGAAATTAAAATTAGGATGCTTAGGTTTGTTCTGAAAATAATACAGGTGAAAGAAGACACACTTATCCACTAAAGTTTCTCCGATTACTGCATAAAAATAAGCATATTTTAGGTTAACAAAATGAATATTAACTGCTGATCTTGGGAGAAATGTATTACAGCAAATTGATTTCTCACTAGAAAATGTCTTGAGAGCTATTCAAACCTAACAGTATTGTGTCTGCAACTCTTAACAATACTGCTTCACAGCTGTCTCTCTGAATATGAGAACATGTCTGTCCTTGTGGCACAAACTGGCAAATTTAATTAAGCTGCTGCAGCAACAAGATGCTGACTCAGATATGCCAGCCTAGGAATGTCAAGAAATTCTAGCAGTTTAAATTGGCTACATTCAGCAAAGAATGAAATGGTAGCACATCAAGATCATTTCCTTGTGCAGTGCTGTCAAAATCTTCATCAGGGTGCAAACCAAAAGCATCTGACAGGGTTTCTCTATCCACATTTACAGCATTATATTTTATTTCAGTTGATGGTTTGAAGTTTTCCCCCTTCATTTTGTCAACTACCCATTCTCCTCTTTTACTTAAAGTTTCTATGAAAAAAATGGCAGAATCCAAAACTTTTCAATTTCTATATTTTAAAGCCTACTGGTTTGGTAGCTTCTTTAAAAGCAGCATTTGGAAATGATGCTTCTAGCCTCCAGCTCAAATCTACTTGTATCTTCTGAATTTGATTTATTTTTATATGTTAAACGTGTTAAAAGTTTATAATTTTTTTCTATGTAAAGCTATTTTCCCCCTTGTTGACTTTAAAACCTGGTTATAAGTATCTATACCCAGAAACTTTAATTTTTAAAAAAGGTAATTGTTTACAACAGCTATTTATATATGAATAGCTCATAAGACATTTTACTTTTCTCATTTATTCTTAGGTAGACTTTCCCAATATTCTATAATCAACGTAATTTATTTTTGATGCTTTACAATAACATGACACAGTATCAACCTTTATATTATTCATTTGTAAAATCAGTATTCAAGTTTCCTTTCATTTTACAAACATTTGTAGAGTTCTCACAGAGAGTAAAAGTTTTTTATCTTGAAATTAACAGAGTAAAAAAGCCTTTTGGTGGAGAAAGAAGGGTTGAATAAAAACGTTTTTGGAAGCACATAATTAAAGGTACCAATATTTTCCCAACATCTTAGAGAATATAAAAATACAAAATTAGGGATAACAAAAATTTTACATTCTTCCTGGGTCTTTGTTCCATCAAAAAAAAAAAGTTGAAAATTCATAAGAGCTTAAAAATCCATTCTTACTGTAATAATTTTTTTGTTTGAACCCCCCACCTCTAGTATATGGGGCTGGCACCCTACTCCTTTGAGCCATAGGCACTGCCTTTAGTGTAATAATTTTTAACAACAGTCAAAGTTAGGAAAAAACACTAGAAACAAATCTTATCAATGCCTTGTGTCTTTATTTTTCTATAGGAAAAGGTAAATTATACTAATAAATTATTTTGTGCTACACAGAAATCTAAAGAAAAGAAGCATATGTTAGTTTCTCTTTTTTTAACTTATTTTTTTTAATGGGGTCTCATACACTGTCAGGCTGCAGTGCAGTGGTTACCCACAGGTGCAGTCATAATACACTGCAACCTCAAACTCCTGGACTGACGCTATCCTCCCACCTCAGCCTCCTGAGTAGCTGGGATTAGAGAAAACAAGGATATTCTAAGAAAAAAAGATGCTAGGAGCTAGGCACACTTAACTGTCAGAACAATACCCTCTCCCTTATACAAAGCCAGACCATTCCACACACCCAGGATATACTGAGCCGAAGTGGACTTGAAAAGAACCACTGGAAAAATTAAGAAGCAGTGGTAAGATGAAGAAAATTAATATTAGAAATCTTTGGTCTGAAATAATGAAGGCTAAGAGTTAAAAAATAGTGAGACTTAAAAAAAAAGATAAAAATGTATGTTCACTAAATCCCAGGACACTAAAATTGGTAGACAAATTCTTTGATTCAAACAAATAAAGGTATTATAATTATTTGATAATAAATTTTAAGAAATTAGTTATCCCCAAAACATGGTACAAGATAAATAACAGAAATAGTTTTTTAAAAAATCTGTAAATGTACATACATATAAGGGAGTCTGTTGCCTCACCCTGGTACAGATGATATTAGCAAACATATTATAATTATGCACTCTGGCAAGAGGAAAGTTGCTCTAAGACTGCCTCTTTAAAACATTTATTTTTGAAATTGTCTCTTTAACACAACTTCCGCTTGTTTTTATGTCAACTTGTCTATTTATCTGATGAAATAAAAAAAATCATTTGTTTCTATAATGTTTTTAATGGCATATCTATCAAAATAAATGTAAAAATATCCTTCACTCATAAGAATTTTATCCTACTTATATAATCACATGTAAAAAAGAATGCTCATTATTTCTAACAGTAAAGGAAAAGAAGCTAACTAAAAGAATATTAACAGAAATCAACTGAAAATTATCTACATCCATCAACATAATATGACACAGCTATGAAAAAGAACGAATTCCATTTACATGTACTAGTATGGAAAGATCAACAGAGTGTGGTGACAGGGCAGGAAGCCTACAGAATGCAGACTACAGGATGCTCCCACTGTACAAAATAAGGGGGTATACTAATGTGTGTGTATTACAGTGCACACACACCTGTTACAGGCTGAGTCAATTTCACAGACGCATCTTTCACCTCAGACAGTAGATTCAAAGGGCTGGATGTGAAGTACAAAATTAGTATTTTATTACATTTTTATTCTGCAACAGAAGCTCACTATGTTTCCCAGGCTGGTCTTAAACTGCTGGGCTCAAGCAATCCTTCAGTCTCAGACTCCCATATAGTTGGGACTATAGGTGCATAACACTGCACCCGCAAAATCAGTGTTTTTTAAAAGTTCCAGGGAGTCTGAGGATCAACCAGTACGGGAAGCCTGAATATGAAGATAGCAAGATATCTAAGAAATACCACAAAAAACAGAAAACTAGGAGGAAACTAGAATGGGACATCTCCATAGTCAAGAGCTGGTTGACGACCATGAGAGCAGCAGTTTTAGAAGTGAGGACAGAAGACAGATTAGAGTGGGATGTTCAGTAAAAAGCAAGAGCAGTGAACAGAATACTTTCAATCCTATTTTAAAAATGCATTCTGCCAACCTATCTTTTGACTGAAAATTAATCTATTTAAAGTAACTATTGATAGAGAAGGAGTGACTAATGCTATTTCATTGTTTTCTTTATGTCTTACAGCTTTTTTGCTCTTCCTTTCCTCCCATCAAGCATATACATATAAAAGTCTTTAAAGAAGGGCAGCGCCTATGGCTCAGTGGGTAGGGTGCCGGCCCCATATACCAAGGGTGGCAGGTTCAAACCCAGCCCTGGCCAAACGGCAACAACAAAAAAGTCTTTAAAGAGGTCCAAGTACAAATGAAAGAAGAGAAAGTAACTAGGGGGTAATGTGGAGTCCAGGAGTCCTGTACTTCAAACAGGAAAAACTTGAGTGCTTTTAAATACTGATCAAGATGACTGAAAATGGGAAAGAACAAACATACCGGAGAATGAGGGAATGACTGACAGAAACGATACTGAGAAGACACAAAAAGATGGGGAGATGGGCTTCCTCCATTGAAAAGGGGAAAGAACTAAAGTTTCCCTTGGGGAGTTCCCTAATTCCTCATTTGGTGTATTTACACATCTTTCTAGTAAACTCAATTACTTGGCTTCCAGGTTCATCTAAGATGGAATAGGAATGGTCAATTAAAAAGGAATGCCACAGGCAGGTGAGCAGAAAGAAGAGAAAATTCAGCAGAATCTATTAAAACATAAAATGTCTATACTGTCCAACCACACAGATTAATTTCTAAGAATGTATCTTACAGAAATGGTTATTAAAATGTCACCAATGTATTGTTTTTAATTACAGAAAAAGAGGAACACAAACATTTTGCAACATAGGATACGATAAGTGAATTAAAAGCACAGCTATGTGATGAAGTAATGCACATACGTAACCATTAAGATTGAGCTATATATGTAGGGGCTTGGAAGGATATACAAAATATCGCTTTAAATAGAAAAAAAAAGCAATTCATATAGCAATACTATAAAAAAGTTTTATAGTATTTAATGCTATTTTTCATAAGTTCCTTTTTGTTTTATGAGTTTATACACATATGTGTTCATGTATAAAGGTCTGAAAGATAAATATCAAAGTGATAAGAGAGGCTTTCTGTTTTTTATATTTCTATAATTTAACTCAGGGGTCCTCAAACTTTTTAAACAGGGAGCCAGTCCACTGTCCTTCAGACTGCTGGAGGGCCGGACTGCGGGCCCCTGGATGAGTCCGCTGCTAAGCAGGACAGGCAGTGGCGGCAAAAACACCCGGCGGGCCAGATAAATGTCCTAGGCGGGCTGCATGTGGCCCGAGGGCCACAGTTTGAGGACGCCTGACTTAACTGTTCATAGTGGAAAGAGATACAAAACTTCAACTACCAGAAAAACACTAAATATGGAAAACATTAGAACATTAAATATGGAAATAAATAACCAAAAAAATAAACATATTACCTGTTAGATAAAACACACAGTTCTTTTAAACTTGGAGCCATGGATTGATCTTTATAATTTTCTCGAGAGAAAAATGTCTTAAGGCCATTTTTGGGGGAAACATCCCTGTGAAACAAAGTAATGACTTACATTTGACAATTCAGAATTTCATGCTAGACCAAGCAGCATTATGGTACAATGGTAATTTATAACTATATGCCCTCTATATCCCCTTTCCCAGGCAATCACCTCTTAGTACGTTTAATTTCATATACCACATCTGCGAGCTTAGATGTTTTACTTCTTGGACAGTCTTAAACTCCCGCCCATTATGAAATTCTCTACCTCCAACAATCGACCTTTAATTTCCTTTACTTCCTAATTAAATCAATGTCAGAGAGACTGGAGAGTTAAAGATAGAACAGACTAAAGTGTAACTGAGGGTCTGTCAAAGGCAGGGCTCACCTCTAGCTCTGAAGCATGACGTTAAGATGCTTGGTTGCTGAAGAGCAAATGCTTCTCAACTTATTTTTGTTTCATATACAATTGTGCCAAGCCAAAAGGCACTAAATATCCTACCTATTTTTGTTAACTTAGCCAATGGTGTGCCCTTGCTAAAACTACCTTGAAAGTGATACATAATTTTTTATAACATAATTAACTTAGAGACTAACACAGCTAATGTTTTCTATATAGTAAACATCCAACTCTAAACAAATAAAC